AGAGCAACTGGTAGATTCAAACTGCCGGCCTTTTGATTAGCAGCCAACCTCTTAACCACTACACTACCAGGGCTCCATTTATAGCTACAATAGATTAATTTATTGATACATTTCATATTAATAAATAATGTAGGAAATATATTAATAAATTAATTTCATATATTCTATATTAATCTATTTCATTAATAAATTTCATTTGTTAATATGAAGTATACTAATGAACTGTTTCAGCTATTCTATAGCTATTAATATATTTCATATTAATAAATGAAATTAATATATTAATAAATTAATTTCATCTTTTTTTTCACTTTTTAAAATGCAGCTACTAGAAAATTTTAAATTACATATGCAGTTTGTGTTATATTTCTGTTGGACCATGCTGGTGCGATCTTTCATCTTAGTGGAAATCTAATTTGAGACTCTGAGGCATTTCAAGAAACACTGGTCTGTATTTTCTAGAAAAGTATTGAACGGGTAGTTTATATGCTTTGAACCATATGATGTCACAATCCTTGTTCTTCTGCAGTACTGGCAAATGGCCAGTTTCTTGTAGATTTAGGGGTTAAGTACAGTCTCTTTTCAGTTCCTGAGAGAACATTACTGTATTCCGCCGTATTCGATTTCCTTTCTCCTAGTTGTAGGCCGTTCCACTGCCTCCTCGCCTCATCTGTGCCCACTTATGTTTGTCGTGTTGTGCTGGAGACCAGTCTCTGGCTGCTGAGGGTTAGTCATTCCGTGGAGCTAAATGAAGCTGCACAGGATGCAGCTACTGATGAACTGGCTTCATTAATTATAGACCCGTGTTCCGGAGCCCTTAGGACCTAAATATGAACCTATTATCACCTCAGCATGAAACAGGAAGAATTAGGCTACTATTTCTGCAGGGACACAAAGAGAAAGGCAGAGAACTTTCAGATTTCGGCCACAAGCCGAGGTATCCGCTTTCATTTCTGGCAAAGCTGTCCCTATATTTAGAGCAGCATCGGACATCCCCATAATGTGGCACTCGAGTTCGAAATAGGGGTCTGTGCTGTGCTGCCTTGTAGCCCATTGTCAGGGTATTTTTGAGGTTGTGTAATACATTTAAGTCCTTGCATTTGAGTTGAAAATCAAGTACAGCTTTTTTTCTCAAGTTAATCAGTTATTCAGAGGAGGCCTGGTGAACTCAAATATGCCTCAGATAACACTTGTTCTAGAAGACTTCTTTTTATATACTCCTTTCCCGCGGCGTGTTCCTTCCTTCTGGCGTTCACAGTTATAGGCTAGCCGAGAGGAGAGAACCGTGTACAGCATTGATCACACTTGACCTTGTGCCGAAAACTTCTTTTAGAGATGGGGTTTTTTGCTTGTTTTGAGCTAGGTCCCATTTTATTCCTGAGCCTTTTCTCTCTGATGTTCTGTGACATTCTAGCACTTGAAAAGTCATTTCCTGCCCCTCACAAACCCTCCAACACTCTATCTTTACCAGGGAAGTATTTCGTAAATGAGTGAGCCCAGTTTGGGACCAACAACCAGTCAGTGGTTGGGAGCTTAGAACCTTACGCATTTTTCTCCTCTTTCCCTCATTTTTTTGCTCTGTAATACAAGGGAATTCTTAAAGAGTATCGGTCCCCTTGCCGTGTTAGCATGTGGACAGCGGCAGGACAATAGACTGGCAGGAGGGAAAATCCACAGGTACTGCTTTGACGAGTCTCTGACTAGAAGCCTTGACTGTGTGCACGTTCAGGAGGTCAGGCAGCATCAACCAGGGTCTCTGTCTGGTAGACCAAAGGCTGACATCAGTTCATCTGGACAACAAGGAATGAAGGTCTAGGAATGGAGTCCAAAACAGATGCAGGGACTCTAGCAGCAAGAGGCCAGGGTTACCTTGGGAAGCAGGAGCTCTTGATTTGCTTCTGCTCAGCCCCACTACCCCATCGCCTTCTGGAGCCTCCTTCTTTTGCCCTTTGTATAAAAAAGAGTGTATGCCATTAGGATTGTCAGTATGTTGTGTGTGCTGGACAGCTGGCGCCAGTTGTTCGCACGCGTTCACTCATCCAACAACACCTCATTCTGCTCACCTTTTCATTTTGAGAACCATGGCAGGCTCGAAGGATACAATAGCGAACAAGATAAATACAGCTCCTCTTCTCCCAAAAGTTGATATCGGTCAGTCTTATAGTTCCATTAGATTTCGTTGACAATTTCAGACAAGCAAGCTGTCTTTTCTTTCACACACTTTAAAACTCATGAACATCAAGGAACCGTCATTACGTATTTGTCTCCAGTCATTCTCTAAAGAGAGCTTCTTAACTGTCTTTGATTCTTACTGCCAGACCTTCCAGGTGGAGGAAGACATGCATTCCTTGTCTCTAGACCAGCAGTTTCAAAGTTTTCTCAGTTCTTGGTTGCCATCGAGTTGACTCAGACTCATGGTGACCCCATGTGTGTCAGAGTGGAGCTGGGCTCCATAGATCTAGTTTTCAGTGGCTGATTTTTCAGAAGTAGATCACCTGACCTTCCTTCCAAGGTGCCTCTGGGTGGGCTCAAACGTCTAACCTTTCATCTGCACCTCCCAGTACTTCCACAGTGGCTTAATGCCTCAGTAATTTTTTCACAGTGCCCTTGGTCCAAACATGCTGTCCAATAGATGTTGCCCTTGAAATTATAAGATATTGATTGATGCCCTGTGAGTTCCTTGATGCCTCTCTGAGTTTGCTGGGGCACTCCAGAACACCTTAGCACACAATTAGGAAACCACACAACTAGTCAAATGAGAATTAGGGAATTCTCAAAAAGTCTTGAAAGAAAATATCTTTTTAGAGAGTGTCCCTAGACTTCAGATGTGAAAAATATGTTTATTGAAGTCAAGGATCTAGTTATTTGGTTGTGACTATGAGTATATATAACTCAGATCAGCCAGGAAGGGCCCAATACTCATTATAAGTGCTGCCACGTTCACTTGGTGGTTTTGAAGGACAGTTAGAATTAAAAAAGAGTCTGTAGAACAATGAGAATACTTGGAATTCATGAGTACTAGGCATCATGCTGTATACCCCTTAGGTGGCTTGGGGAGGGGATAGAGATACAACTCGATTAAAGTGAGCAAGAAATTTGATTACACCATTTATTTTCCAAGGAGTTTTGTTTGTTTGTTTTGTGTCTGAAACTAGACTCAGTGTGAGGATTGTTCCATTGGAAAATGCATTCTGTTTTGTGGGAAAGCATGTAGAGGGTTGCTCATCAGGGAGTCTCTGTGGACAGGCAGCTTAGTGTTCGGCGTTTCGTTATGGCCTTAGTGTGGCCACCATTGCTTTCTCACAGCATCTTAGTTGCAAATTAAACAGATACCAAGCAGATTACAACAGAATAAGGATTCATCAGACCCCTGTGCTCTCTCAGTCTTGTTTGTGTTTGTGGTTTACACCATCTATCATTGCATCAGAATCTCTGGGGTCGGGGCCTAGGCCTTGAGGTGGTGTGTCTGTGCTCAGCTGAGTCCACCGTGCCACCAGGGTTGAGAGCCACTATGCTCTGGGATGCTCCCTGGTGTAGAATGCTTGACTTACTGTTAGACTAGGGATCCTGTGATCCTCTTTAATCTCTCAGTAAATCCCAGGGGTTTTTCCTTCCCACTGTCTCACCCGCTGTCTCACCTGGTAAACCTCATGACTTTTATCTATTAACTTACTTAATCTTGGTCGCAGAAAGTAAACAGAAATATCAGATACGCT